GAGAGAGAGAGAGAGAGAGAGAGAGAGAGAGAGAGAGAGAGAGACTGATTTTCATTATGTGTGGATAATATCGTTATAGTGTCAAATTTATGGACACATTTATGTACAAAGAAAACGTGTTACTAGAAGGCTAGCCCGGCTAGTCTGTAATGCCCATGTTTTAGCGCGTACAGCGCTATTAGTCTCACCGCTACGCACGTGCTGATTGGCCAGTAAGCTGACGCTCGATAGAAATCTTTTATCATTAACCTTTTCAGCCACATATTTTTCTATCCATCGGTTTTTCATGAAAATTGGTATACAGGAGAAAATCCCACCTTGCCCAATATTCCTGAACATATTACCAAGGTAAAATTACGAAAAAAAAGTAAAGAAATCAAGCACTAAATATTGGCAAAATTTTTTAAATTTCTTGAAAATAGATGGTACTCTGAGAGTACCACCATGCAGCGAAGAATTAATATTTCAAAATTACGTGTTTAAAAAAACACTGATTTCATTACTCACCCGGTCTATTCTACATATTTGCTCTGGTAGGGTACGAATCAGACACACTATATAAATTATATACGAATTTTGTCCATATATATAGTCATATATATAATCATATATGTCCACACGGACAAAGATAACGTTAAATGAAAAAGGAAAGAAATAATTTCAATTCATTTAAGTATTGAGCATCATATGACATGTTCCGTATCACTTTAAGCATTTTTGTTATTTTTGTTCATCGTTATTATAGTTATTATAGCTATAGTTCATCGTTAAAAAAAAGAGAGAGAAAGAAAAGAAGAGACAGAGAGAGAGAAAGAGAGAGAGAGAGAGAGAGGGAGAGGAGTTTACCATGAAGACGGCAGTCGCACCACCACCGCCACCACCACCATATTTAAACACGACTTTCTTCACTTCTCGCACTTTCGCCGAAGTACTAGATGACACAGATGAGCCGTGAGATTCATCCGACGACCGACAGGTCTCCCTCATGCCGAGACTCTGATTAACAATGCAAACTATGTTTGATTACCGTAAATCAAGTCGAACCATGGTTAACACGTTGAATGTTACGGGTCAAAGACCAACGCTATAATATAGCCGCGTCTCATTTACATACAAAACGCAAACAATGTCGCATAACAAATTAAATATATAAGGTGAGTATCAAAACGGGGGGG